ATAGATAGATAGATAGATAGATAGATAGATAGATAGATACAGATATAGATATACACACATATGTATGTGTATATATATACATATATACATATACATATATGTATATATTGTTCTGACATAATTGGCTAGTCAGTCAGGACTAAATTCAGGCTTCTGATTCTCCAGAGTCGGCATGACATGGTTCATAGAGAGGCAACTTTGAAGCCAACTTACTGAGTGACCCTGGGAAAGTCATTTACCCTCTCATTTACCCTGGACAACTCTTTAAGCCCATGACCTGCTCAGTAGAGGGAGTTTTCTCATCTGGGAGTTCTCTATACTACTAAAACCACAGGTGCAGTTCCTATCCTTCTCTATTAACTCCTGGTTGAGGGTTTCCTTCCTCTCATCTCCTTGGGACAGTATTAATTCTACCTTTTCTTGGAATGAATGGTTGAAGTAGTTAAAGGGACTCCTCCCCAAAGCACACTGCTTGTAGGGATGGAAACTCCCAATTCCTTTAAGAAACAACCACAAACAGTACCAGTTCATCCTTCATAGTGGAGATTGGCATTCCCACTGGAATTTGTAGTTTTAAAATTGCCTGATGCACCAAGGAGGTTAAAGAACTTGCCCAGGAATCATAGATTGAGATCTAGAAAGGACCTTTGGGCCCGTCTAATCCAGCCTTCTCATTCTATAGAGGAAGGAATGGAGACCCAAAGAGGTTAAGATCATCCCATGATCAGAGGTGGGATGGGAATGCAGGTCATTCTGAGTCTAGGTCGGGCACTGTCTCTACCATGTGGTTATTGGCCACTCTCAGACTTCTGAATCAACCAGTCAAGCCCATACCCATTGGTATCAATAATATCCCAAAAGCAACCAAGATCCTGGGGTCTGTAGAAGGTAAAAAGAAGGGGAGATGACCTTTCCAGGTCCCTATTGTATCCCATCCCAACATCTCTCACAAAAGCAAAAGGATCCCCAAAGCCAAATGCGCTTAGCGGTGTTGGTCCTGAGATGGAGCTCCCAGAGGCATCTTGGGCTCCCCATGGTGGCCAGGGGATGGAACAGCTAAGCACAGAGCCAGCTGGACAGATGGGAATTTGCTGACATAGCACAAGTGTCTCTGCTCCCCATCTCCTCCCACTGTCAATGAATCAATTGAATCACTCAACTGAAAAATTAACTTAAAACCACAGACATTCCTCAAACCCACAGAAGGTCACCGAGAAGTGTGGAGCCAAAGCTAAGGCTGCTGGGAATTGGGGAGGGGAGAGGGCCAGGAAGAACTTCTGTCTCTAGGATGGTCACCCCAAGCAGGTCTTCAGCCCCTGAGGAGGCAAATGTTAGGGCACTCATCTCTAGAAAGACCATGATTTCTTCTTAGCAAATCCATTTTGTTTGCTTATATTTGAGGTGTTACCATCTTCCCCAGATATAGTCTACCATTCTGACATAAGAGGTAGCCTGTTGTAGTAGAAGGAATATTGTTCTCAGCGTATGAAGACCTGAGTTCAAGGTCTGGCTCTGACACTTTGTGACCTTGGGCAAATCACTTAACCTCTCAATCTCAATGTCCTCATCTGTATATATTATTAATATAATAAATTAAATGTATTGAATATTACATTAAAGCCCTATAGAGCTATGAGCTATTATGATGTGACAGTAGATAGATCACTGGACTTGAAGTCAAGAAGATCTGAGTTCAAATCATGCCTCAGATAGTTTCTAGCTGTATGACCTTGCACAAGACATTTAAACTCTCAGCTTCATTTTCCTCAACTGTAAAATAAGGGGGGTTGGACTTGATGGTTTCTATGGTCCTTTATAGCTCTTAATCTAGGACCTTATGAGTATATCTCCTAGAATCCTCTTGCTTCTATTCTGATTCTCCTTCACTCCCCCTTTCCATCCCCTGTCTCCTTTCCTGCCCTTTGCAGTCACACCTACCCTGTAGCTCCTGCCTACAGCCGGACCTTAGATGGATCTTGGTCCCTTCCCCTGACCTTGCCCCACATTAAAGAGTTGATCAGCTCATCAATTAACTTCGTCCCAATCCAATCTTTCCTTAGACTGAGAGCAGTAAATCCAGCTGGATAATCATGCCCTGATATTTGTGTAGGGATAATTACAGTTGCACAGCCCTGAGTTGGTGGCAAGATGAGATGAAAACCCATAAAATACCACTCGGGTGCTGGGCTATTGTTTCCTGGCTTCTCGAGGCTGGCAGCTGGCCAGGCAGCAGCACCCTCATCTCACCCGGCCCTCGTTCTGGCCCTAGCCTCGAGCCTCATCTTACATCCTACCCTCCCCAGGTCCTATCCACAGGGAGCAGGGAGCCTTCTGAGGCTGGATCTCTGGGACTCAGTGGGCCCAGGACCATCAAAGGCCCAGTTTTTCCAGCTTCCCCTTGCTTGGGTGGCATGTTCCCTCAGCAATACAGGAGGCTCAGGTCTGCCTTTTTCACAACGAGAGGTCCTGCCAGGTAGATGGCTGCTTGGGGCTGAAGGAGGCACAAACCAAGTCATTATATTTGTCTATACCCTAGGCACTCATGCCCCTTCCTGCATTTTTCTCCTCGTCACCCTAACCTCATTTTCATTTCACTCATTCAATCAATTATTTCACTGAGGCTTCAGAATCCTAGATTCAGATCAGAGTTATGGCAAAGAGCAAATAAGCTCAAATATGAAAAACGGCCTTGGAAACTGTAAAGCCCCACACCTTGAAATTTCACATTTGCATAGAAACCTCACAGTTCTCAAGGCAACTTGACCTACAACAGCCCTGGGAAGGAAGCAGGGGCAGGTATCGTCCTCATTTTTACAGATGAGGAAGTGGGCGGCGTGGAGACGGTGAGGGACTCCCCAGATAGCCCGCAGTTAGTGTATGTAAGAAAGGCATCCTGACATGGTGCTAAGGCTTTTGACTCAAGGGATCTGGGCTTAAATCCGCCTTCTCAATCTCAATGTCCTCATCTGCATATATTATTAATATACTTATATTAATATATTGCCGACTTTAGTTGTTGAGTCGTTTTTCAGCTGTGTTCCACTCTTTGTGACTCCATTTGGGGTTTTCTTGGCAGAGATACCAGAGTGGTTTGCTATTTCCTTCTCCTGCTCTTTTTACAGATGAGAAAACTGAGGCAAACAGGATGGAGCGACTTGCCCAGGATCACACAGCTAGTAAGTGTCTGGGGCCAGATTTGAACTCAGGAAGATGAGTCTTCCTGACTCCCAGCCTGGCATTCTATCCACTGTGCCACCTAGCTGCCTTAAAATCTACGATTACTATTAATATATTAAAGCACTTACTATTTGTGTGACCTTGGGCTAGTCCCAGAACCTCTGCCTCTTTCTTCATCTATAAAATAAGGGGAAAGTGGACTAGAGCAGGGGTATCAAACTCAAATAGAAACAGATCCCTTCAAGCTGCAGATTGCCTTAGAAAACTACAAGTTACATCTGTGTTTTATTGTATGTTTATTTATTTTGCTAACATTTCCCAATCACATTTTTAGACCTTTATTTATTTAGAAAATTCTTTGTCTTTTTTACATTTTGAGTTCCCAATTCTCTCCCTTCCCCCTTCACTGAGAAGACAAGCAACAGGATATCAATTATCCATGTGAAGTCATTTCTGATTACATTCCTTTGTGTACTCCAGAGTATTGGGATCTGAGTGTAGCCTGTAAGGTCATGAGTTTGATACCTTTCAACTAGATGACCTCTAAATTCCCTTCCAGATGTAAAGCTATGATTCTATGAACTGAGGTCTTTTGACTCCAAATATCAAAATATTTATTGGTTTTAGTGGGGCAGCTAGGTGGCACAGTGGATAGAGTGCCAGTCCTAGAGTCAGGAAGACCCGAGTTCAAATCCAGCCATAAATACTTACTAGCTGTGTGATCCTGGGCAAGTCACTTGACCCTATTTACCTCAGTTTCCTTATCTGTAAAATGAGCTGGAGAAGGAAACGGCAAACCACTCCAGTGTCTTTGCCAAGAAAACCCCAAGTGGGGTCACCAAGAATTGGACACAACTAAAACAATTGAATGACAATAACAAATTAGGTTTGAGCGCTACACATTACTGCCTCACTAATATATTGCTACCACTGCTCTTCCCCTCTCTGCCCATCTACCACCATGGAGGCTGAAGTGGATCTTAGACAGATTTTGTGGGTTTTTTGTTGTTGTTTTTGCTCTAGACCTGTTATTTCATCTGTTTACGGAAAATTCCTTCCAACTATGTGGATTGACAACTTCTCAGCAAATTATAATTTTAATGAGTTGCCATAAGCATTGCGAGGATAAGTGACTCAGCCAGAGTCACACAGCCAATGTATGTCAGAAGGACTTGAACTCAGGTCATCCTGACCCCAAGGCTAGCCATCCATCTGGACAGGTTAGAGGTCTCAATCAGGACAGATCCTAAAAGAGCCTAAAGAGGTATCCTAGGAAGTCCAATCCTATTTTGGCTGGCTGTGGTCAGGGGGGCCTCTGGAAAGTTTCTACCCTGGCTCAGATCAACACACCTGACCGGAAGATTCTATAGCATGTACTCCAAATGTGCTGTCCTCATTTCAGCATGGGCAGGGTTGGGAGTTAAGAGTCTCTGAAGAAGCCTTTAGGAGAAGACCTATATCTGCTTCTCAGAATCATGGTACCTTGTAAAATAGGTTTCCTCTTGAGATGTTCTGGGGACCCTGATCTAACTCAGCAACTTGTGGGCTAGAGATGGTTTTCACCTTCTCCTCTGTGTCCCCTATACTTGGTCCAGGGAACACCTTGCTGTCAGTAATAAGCATTAGGAGGCTACATCTAGACATTATTCTAAGAGGTGAGGTCTCTATAGGCCTCCCTCACCCTCAAGAGCTCCTTAATGGAGAAATCGAGGGGCTCTGTGTGGAGATAGCAGCGAGGCCTCTTTGAGAAGACATCTATAAGAGAGTTAAAAGTAAGTCCTGGAGGTAGAAAAGGAAAGAAGGGAGCTAGCCGGGCTCCCTACCTGAGAAGGCATTGTTGGTGTTAAGGAAGTAGATTTCCTCCCGGCCATCCCCGTCAATGTCACAGGCAGTGACCCCAATGGCGTTCCCCTGCCGGTCCCGGAGTGCATAGTAGGGGGAGCTTCTCTCATCCACTGCAATGTTCACCAGGCGCCGCTGGGCTCGGTCATACTTCAGAACCAGGTTGGGGCCATTATACCTGAGGGAGAAGAGAATGACAAGGAAGATGGAAAGGGGAAACAACATCTCTCTCCACACATACTCAAATGAACCTCAGACTTCCCTGAACAGCTTGCAAAAATACCTATCCAAAAAGACTTATATGAAGTGATGCAAAGTGAAGTGAGCAGAACCAGGAGAATATTGTACACAGTAACAGCAACATTATACATGGAAGAACTGTGAATGACTTAGCTATACTCAGCAGGACAATCCAAGACAATCCCAAAAGACTCATGATGAAGCATGCTATCCATTTCCAGAGAAAGAACTGATATTATATGAATACAGACTGAAGCATACTCTTCCGTCCGTCCTTCTTTCCTTCCTTCCTTCCTTCCTTCCTTCCTTCCTTCCTTCCTTCCTTCCTTCCTTCCTTCCTTCCTTCCTTCCTGTTTGAGGCTTCTTATACAAAATGACTAATATGAATATGTTTTACATAATTGCGCATGTATAACCTATATCAAATTGTTTACTCTTGGGGTTGGGGGGGAGGGAGGGATAGAATTTGGAATTCAAAACTCTTTTAAAAATGTTTAAAAAATTGTTTTAACATATGACTGAGGAAAGCACAAAATATTATTAAAAGGAAAAAAATATTTATCCAAACAGAGTTGCCAAGGTAGGCCCACCCTTCCAGGTTAGTGTCTCATGGGAGCCTGTCTGCTGAGTGTCTCATGCTTAGACCCCAAAGTCTGGCCACTGATAAATAGGGAAAGGGAAAGAGAATCTGGTTTTTACTCTCCTATTTGAATTCAGCTGCCCGCATAGCATCCAAGGCAAAGAGTGGGATAGAAGGCCCCACTTTGGCCCTGGGACTTCCATAGTGAAGAAGCACCAGGGGAAGAGAAACCATTTTGATTGGGGGTTGGATACTTAGAACCTGACAAGACACTTCCACATTTAAATCACACATTTGACATTAGCATCTCAGGCTAGAGAGTGTGAATAAATATAGCTAGATTAGGTCAACCCACTAGATTTCTTTGACCTATTTCACGATTTTGGCCTCCCTGTCTCAGCTGAAATCATAGCTTAGTGTTAGCAAGGCCAGTGTTCTTACTTTATAAGAAGAAAGGAAGAAAAAAAAACATTTACTAAGTGTCGGTTATGTGCCTGGCACTGTGCTAAGCCTAGGTAACAAGTGCTGTCATTATTCCCATTTTACCGGGGAAACTGAGGTAAACAGGGGGTAAGTGACTTGCCCAAAGTCACATAGCTCATAAGTGTCTGAGGCTGAATTTGAACTCAGATCTTCCTGACCTTAGGCACAGTGCTCTATCTACTTTGCCATTTAGCTGCCTCTGTCAGATAAGTAAGGAGCTCGGCTAAGGCCACACAGTAGGTACAATAGAAGCAGCAAGTTTTTCAATTCCCAGTTGAGTGCCCTTTCTATTAGTACAGTGCCTGGCACATAGTAGGCATTTAATAGGCCACAACAACAGGTATTTATTAAATACTTCCTATGTTCTAGGCTCTGTGCTAAGTGCTGGGAATATATAAATACATGCAAAAAGAATATCCCTGCCCTCAAGGAGCTTATAGTCTAATGGGATAAGACAACACATAGAAGGGAGCTGAGAAGCAGGGGTGTGTGTGTGTGTGTGTGTGTGTGTGTGTGTGTGTGTGTGTGTGTAAGAAGTTACCCAAAGTCCAGAGAGTCAGCAATACAGGGAGAGAAGCAAAGGAGTGAGCATGGCTGGCCTTGGCATTTCCTCAATGTGGAATTTCCAAGAAGCACTCACCAATTGGAAGAGACGTTCACTCAATTAACCTTACCCCACTTCTTTCCACTTGATTACATTTCATTAATCCTTGGAGTTCTCTGAGTCAAGTAGGTCCGGGTCCCCCAATTATTAAGATGCCCCATTTTATATCTCACCTGGAAAATCTGAGGTGCCAAAAGAGAAAATAATTTGCTGAAGGTCCCCCAAAGAGAAATGGAGCAAGGTAAAGGAGAGGATTCTGGGATCCTGCCTTTCAAATAGAGTGCTCTGCACAGCACCAGACTCTTCTGAGCTTTCCAGAGGAATCTAGCCAAACCCCAGGTATGTTTAATCCCTTACACTCCCTCTCCTTTGTTTTTAACCTGCTAGTATATCTTAAGGGAAATTCAACTGCCTGTTTCTGATTAGTCCCTTTTGTGAATGCTTGGGGCCAGCAGGCTGAAGTCTCCAAGGTGTCTGAAAGAAGTCACTTTCTTGTTTTCCTAAAATGAAGCCAATTTGACCCTCTTCACAGTTACTCAGGATTTGGAGCCAGTGAAGTTGGAGGATTTTTAGAAAACTGGCCAGGTGCATCCTGGCACCCACAGTGCATGAAAGGGGAGAAAGGAAACTTATTATCTACTGAGTCAGCAGCATGGGTGATGGAAGGGAGCTTGTTAGACACCTTAACAAAGAGTTTCTGAATTCTGTGTGTCAGGGGAGGCTCCATGACCTATGAGAGGTACCTAAGATGGAGAGACAGAACACTGAGGGCCCAATACTAGCTCGGTCAGCACTTGGCTGGCCAGCCTCAGGTACGAAGAAATGCTTAATCTGAGTGAAATATGATTTCCTCAGTCCTACTAGGAAAAGAACCCAGGGTATCTGGTGCCCAGCCTTCTCTATCCCAACGCTATATCTTACCTCCAAAAACCATTATCTTACAATGATGATGATGATCATAATAATTAGAACAATAATAATAGACATTTGTGAAATGCTTAACCTTTCCCAGCCAAGCTCCTTGAAAGAACCCCCCACTTAATCGCCTCTTACTCTCTTTTAAAACCTCTGCAATCTGGCTTCTGACCTCATCACTCAATTAAAACTGCTGTCTATAGTAGTTACCAATGATCTCTTATTTGCCAAATCGAATGATTTTCCCAGACCTTATCCTTCGTTGCCCTTTCTGCAGCACTCGACACCGTTGACCATCCTCTCCTCCGAGACACTCTCCCCCTTCTGCCTGCCCCTTCTCGGTCTCTTTTGTTGGCTCATCATCCGTACCCCACCCTCTAACTGTGAGTGTACCCCGACATTCTATCTTGGGCTTGTTTCTCTGTTCCCTTGCTTGGGGACCCTTATCAGCTCCCATAGTTTGAATCATCATTTCTATGCAGATGACTCACAGATCTATATTTCCAGCCCTTGTTTCTAGCCACCCATCCCCCACCACGAAGATGCTTATGATTCTAGTATCCACTCCTCTTCCCCAGGACTCTCTCTTCTTCTTGTGGCTAAGGCATATTGAGTCTAGGAAACATTGATTTGCAAAAGGAGTAAGTTCACCATTTGTACATGGTTGTCAACAACGTCACCCGTTTAGGGCTAAAGTTCTTAACTGCAGTACATGAACTTATATAATATACCTACATATCTAAACATATAGACATATATGTATAGCTAGATATATATGCATATGTATATATCTATGTACATATAGATATACAAAGATAGATATATGGGTAGAAAGATAATTATTTCAACTGAATTGATTTCCTATGTATTTTATGCAGTTATGACATTATTCTGAGAAAGGGTTGATAGACTTGACTAGACTGCTGAAGGGGTCCATGACCCCCCCCCAAAAAAGCTAAGAACCCTTGGTTTAGGGCAAAATCACATGTGCCTCAAGACGCAGAGATCTCAACCTATGCTAGTTTTCTCTAGATCTTTCCCCAGACCCATACTCCTGTATTTTTACAGTGTCAATCATAGGATTGCAGGATTGGAGACTAGAATGAACCTTAGTGATCTTTAAGTCTAACTTTTTTATTTTTGAAGATGAAGAAACTGAAGCCCAGAGAAGTTAGGAGATTTATAATTTCCTATGAGAAGTGAATATATCCTTGATTCAAGGTGCCAGCCACAGGATGATAGGATTAAGAACCAGAAAGGATTTAAAAAGTCTTCTAAGACAATCATCACATTAAAAATTTTTTTTTTTAAATTTAGGCAATTGGGGTTAAGTGACTTGTCCAGGCTTACATAGCTAGTAAGTGTTAATTGTTTGGTGTGAGGCCAAATTTGAACTTAGGTCTTCCTGACTTCAGGGCTGGTGATCTATCCACTGCACCACCTAGCTGCCCCTTAATCATCACATTTTGACAGATGGGGAAACTGAGGTTAAGTGACTTAGCCAAGATCACACATGTGAACCACATTATTCCCTTTGTGCCCACTACAGGATCATATATACATAGAAATATACATATACAGATGCATATATATATATATATATATATATATATATATATATATATATATATATATAGCTATACTTATATGTCTATATGTTTAGATATATAGAAATATATTATACAATTTGCTGCACTCCAGTTAAGATTTAGAGCTGGACAGGACCACAGAGATGATCTAAGCAAACCCCTTCATTTTTAGAAATGAGGTAATCAAGATCCAGACTTTAGTGATTTGCTCAAGGTCATATAGGTAGTAAGTATCAGAGGTAGGATTTAAACCCAGGTCACATGACTCCAAATTCTTTGCTCTTTCCACAACACATTGATACTATGTCTTTTTTACGGATTTTTTTTTCAGGCAATCAGGGTTAAGTGAATTGTCCAGGATCACACAGCTAGTAAATATCTGAGGCTGGATTTGAACTCTGGTCCTCCTGATTCCAGGGCTGCTGCTGTATCTACTGTACCACCTAGCTACCCCTGACACTTTGTTAACCAGGACCCATCTTCCTCTAGAATGTTTCACACCAGCCTTGGCTTTTCTTGGTTTCTGACTGGTGGTTAAAAAATATAATCACATTTTTAGCAAATCAGCAGGACAACTCTAGATTTCATTGGTGGCTAGTACTCCCATACACAATTCAGTGGCCCATCTCTTCTTTCATCATATTTCTGTTCTCTCCTGCACTCAAAAGAATAGCACAGAACATGCCTGCCTCAAGCAAAAGATGGGAGACATTTCACTACCTTCAACACCCCAGACTGTCACAAAGGCTCTTCTTGTGCCTGGGATC